ATTGACTCAGCCCCTCAACGGGCAGTTGTGATCATCCCAAGCTCCTGGAATTTTTTTTTTAAAAAAGGATTGAACTCATTGTTAACTGGATTGCATTTGCTGCCTCCTTGCCTGAGTGAGTAACTGGCTCTTGGCTGATTCCCTGGCCGGGAAGAGAGAGAGAGAGCACATGCAGCAAGCCCTTCAGGGCAACATGCAGCCTAGGTCATAAAGAAAGACTTAGGGCACTAATTGAGACTGCAGGCAAGGGGACGCTCCCCTGGAAGCCCCAGGAAGGCAGTCACGTCGGAGAGGCTCAGCTAGTACCGGAGCGCTCCGCCTAAGGGGTTGAGCGGTGAACCATGGCTTTTTAAACACAGCGGAACGCCCGCGAGTGCCGAAGAGAGATAGTGGCCTGCAGTAGCTCGCAAAGCTCGGAAGAGAGCATAGGAAGCGAGAGAGAGCTCTCCAGCGGCAGCGGAAGCCGTGCCGCAGTCCTAAAGGCACAAGCCGCTTCCACCTGTTCCCAGGGAGAGGAACTTTTTGAATTTGGAACCAGAGGCCATTTTGAAACCACATGATCCAAGATGTCGGCGCCCAGCAGCACAGAGGATATCGGCAAGACTCAAGACTTCAGCCCAGCAGCCAGCAACCTCACAGGAGGAGCAGAGGAGCAGCAGAGCAGCTAAACAGGTCAAAGACTGCTACAGAGGCTGCTAAGGGAAGAGGAGGAGGCATGGCAAAGGCAAAGAGAAAGCATGTCTCCTCCAAGGGGGCCAAAGAGGCAGGCTGCAGCTACAAGCCCCCAAAGCCTGGCTCCAAATATGAAAGGCGGAGGCACTGAGCCTTGGATGCATTTGCCACAAGGATAGCAGCAAGAGGGCTACCCCTGGCCAGGAACCTGGAGAAGGATTTCCAGGGATTCTTTCTCCTGGCAGGACTGCAGATGGGGACCCCCCCACACACACAGGTGAGGATTCCCTTTGATACTTCGGGCATCTGGGGGGGATGCACAAGGATGGCAATCACCCTCACGCTTCACAGTAGCGACACCCTCGCCACAGCCCTTCCCGTCCACACCTGCTGGCACAGGGCCGGGAATACCATCCACATCAGGGATGCCCAACTTCCAGGATATTACGATGTGGGCCTTGCAGCAGTGCATGGGAGCCATCTTTCAACAGCCACAGATGCAGACCCAGGCGGCCCCCATGCCTAGGGTCTCGGAAGGGCTAGAGACTCAGGAGAAAGATTTTCCAGAATCACCTGCCTCCTCCCAGGAGGACAGCGATTCGGATTCCGAAGAGGGCGAAATCAAAGAGGATAGACTCTCTGAGGACGAAGGCATGCCTCCTCCCAAACCTACCTTCTCCAGATTGTTCCAGCCCTCTTTGTACAAATCCTTTCTGTTCAAGGCCAATCCTGGAAGGGATTAGACAGGGAGATTTTCTCACCTCCATAGACCTCAAAGAGGCCTACCTGCATATACTCATTATCCCCGGAACACTGTAAACATCTCAGGTTCTGCTACTTAGGGCACCACTTCCAGTATCGAGCCCTGCATTTTGGGTTGTCGTCTGCCCCTCAAGTTTTCACGAAGGTAATGGCAGCATTGGCAGCTCACCTGAGGCAGGTTCCTGTTCGAATTCAATGTTATTTAGATGACCTGCTGTTGCAGTTGTCCTCCTTCAAGGGTGCGCTANCTTCCTTCCTCCTCTCCTTCCTTCTTCCCTCCCTTTCTTTTTCTATTGTTATAGGTGTCTCTTTCAAATCTCAATTTATGTTTTCTTGGGAATGGCTACTGTCTTATTTTAGATATGTGGGATATGCTGCCAGCCTGAGGCCTTACAAGTAGGAATCTCTACAAGGGAGCTTTTCTTTTATATGTAGCTGCTTTTATCAGACAGCAGCTGGTAGCAGATTTTGGCAGAAAATTTTTTAGTTTTTTTTTTTTGTTAGAGTAAGGATAGAGGCACACTTTTCTACAATGAAAGTATTCACAAATCCAGGCCTACCAGCTCCCCAACAGATGCTCACTTCATATGTAATATTGCGTTTCTATTGATGCATCTCTCCGTTGCAATCAATTAACAGGTGTCCAAGACCCTGTTTGAAATCATTCCTCTGTTGCCCCAAATCTCTTATTTCCAAGGCCAAATGATTTAGCAAGATGGGTGGCCTAGAGGTTCAATAAATAAAATGAATATAAAGTAATGCCATAAATTTTCAGAACACCACATAGGATTAATAATTGCTCTTAATTGAACCATATACGGGGGGGGGAGAGATAGGTGGCTTTAAATTGCATTTTAATATATTTCTCGACTGTTATTGGGCTTCCTTGAAAAACAGATTGCTCCCCCTCCCCAATTGCCACATTTTGTTTCAGGTCCCAAATGTTACTGAATATTATACATAACATTTATTAGAAAAAAAACTTCCTTGAGGCAGCATGCAATATTGTAAACTAATTATCTGATGCAGAATGTAAGTGTAGGTTTTTTCCCCTTCTTAGCTGCCCTTAGCTAAGAAGGAAACAACAGGCAGTGTACATGTCAAGAATTGCAATATAAATCTATATGTTACACAATAATGATGTTAGAAGAAAACATTCCCACCCTCCCTAATACGCATCACCAGCTTTGCTGGCTGGCGCTTCTAAACCCCCCCCCCCATTATTCTCAAAATGACATTTGTTTGGAAGTCATGTTACAGGAGAAGGAAGAACATCTTAAACTGGTCAAACAATTACTGAGCAAACTGTATCACTGTGTTAATAAAAGATTTTTCCTTTCTAATCTGTGACTTGGGAGTGAAGTTAGGGATTCAGGACTAAGTCCTTTTGAAAGAGGTCCATAAAGACAGCTATCCTAACTCTTGGATTTCGCTGCATCACGTTCTGCAGAACAGACGAAATAAATAGAATTTCCTTCTTCGTTTCTGCTTTTACTTCTCAGCAAAGAGCCTGCTTCAGACACAGAGTGTATTCATAAAACTAGTCATGCAATGTCTACTAGAGCTAATATGGTCTATTAGTTAAGATGCCAGTCTAGAAACCAGGAGATGGAGTTCTAGACCCATCTTAGACAAGACTAGAACTCATAGTTTCTAGCCTCGTTGGGTAACTGGACCACTCAATCTCCCAGCCCAAATCACCTTGTAGGGTTTGCGAGGAAAATAGGAGGCAGAAGGACTGTTCTGTATTGTTTGCTGGCTCGAGTCCTTTATAAATATAATAATAAAGGTGGGATAAAAATTTAAAAATTGAATTGAATTGAATTTATTGGTCTTGTATGCCGCCCACTCCCGAAGGACTC